TCAGCATTTCATTATTCAATGCAGACAGCACATGTAATACAAGATGACGTCCATACGGACAACAGAACATGACCTTTGCTGGATCATGTGCATGCAAAGTGATGCACAAGATTATGGCAGTGCCTCACAAACTATTTTCCAATGTGACCTTATTTTAATTCACCAGCACCTTTTCAAGGGCAATTAGGGATGGTCAAAAATGGCTCTGCTGTCCAGCAATACTGACATCCCATGAATAAATATATAAATATACATATTTTAAAAATCTATAAGTTAATGTAAACCAGATGTCAGCAAAGCAAAACAGCTGCAAAATGGCAATATTTAGTATATCATTTGAGAATCACATTTTATGAATCAACATAATGTTGGATATTAATACGAAAATGATTTTTTAAAAGTACTTTGTAGAAATGCTATTGTTTTATATATTCACGTAGGTTTTCACTGATGTCCCTACATTTCCTGATGACAGAAGACTTGTCTAAACTCCTCTGTCCCACATGTGCATTATAATTCATTTCATTTTTCTCCTTCTACCCCACACAAATTCTTCCTATTCCCCTCAACCCCCACTCACTCAATAGTTCCTCTTCCCAAACCATTCGCTGCTACTCACTGGAGGCGTTCCTCTTTGAAGTTCCCTCCACACTACTCGCCAAGGAGCTCCTCTTCTCAACTTTCTGTACCTAATAACTCAAGTCCTTCTTCCCAAATCTCGTCCTGTCCGTCCATCTCACCACATCCTCCTTCCCCACTCCCCCCAAACTCACTATGCAACCTGGCCTTTCCAGTAGTCTAACAGCAACACCAAACCATCCTGAGCCCACAGACCTCTTCCTAGTCAAGCTAACATGACTGAAAAGTTTTTCTGATTCAATCCAGGTGTGGCTGCACTGCTTAATCCTGCATGCCAAATCCCAGGACGACCTGTGGTCTCCTGTTCCTCCTACACCCACTGAAACTTGGTCTCTGTTGCTCCCGCTCCCCACGGTTACCAGCCTGAATCCCACGGAAGGTCAGGTTCTGTTGCTTCTTCCCACTGCCTGCTATTTGCCATCAATTGGGCAACAGAAGAGCATTTACTGTTGGTGGGATGATTGACAGTAACCAGGACAAAGCTTGTGCAAGGCTGGGTGGCAGTAGTGGGATTTGGTTCTAGGCATGACCTCCAATGGGGCTCCCCACACTTGGGCCTTGACTTTGGACATCAACTGAAAGCATGCAAGATTGGAGTTGAATGCATGCACCAACAACCTTGGAGAGGCAGAGATCAAAAATTATTTCCAAGAGCAGACTATCATGTTCGGGCAGAATCAAAATCTGCCAAAAGGCAGAATTTTCTCATCCCTGATATTATAACATGGAAAGAAACAATTTTAATATTCATGTATTTATTTCAGAAAATAATTTAATCTTACCTGGACTTGTTGGATTAAACAATCACGTTCTCTTTTGTATAAGATGGTTTTAGAAAGAGAACGTATCCTACTTTAGTATTTGCCATCCTACTGTTTACAAGTCTTCTGTAATTAAGGTCTAGTATATATCTTTGTCTCTGACTCTATCTTTAGTTAATGAATTTTGGGAAGTGAAATCCTGTATTGCAGCCTGTGAGTATTATACATTACAACCTGGTAGGGTCTGTGGTCATGTCACCCTTTCGTACATAACTACTTTGGAGTGGCTTTTGTTGTCTACACATTTGTGGTGCTCTGGCCCAAGTGTTTAAAAGCACAGTAGAAGTTTCATTATGAACTCTCATGAACAAGCTTGCAGAATTATTAATCATCTACTGTTATTTGAGGGGAGAGCATCTTATCATAATAAGGGCAAATGGTGGAATATCTGGAGCTTGGGTGGAGCACAAATTCCTAGCGCTGGTTAAGGAATCAGTTGTAGTAAAAAAAATGTCAGCCATTTTCTTTTGTTTTGGAAAAGACATTATTTTACCACAATTACCCTCATCTTAAAAAGTGAAGAGTAAAAATATAATTTCAATTAGATGCAGTGAATTTGAAATGTGTATTTCTAATGAAGGCACTAAAAATTGCAAACAAAACAGATGTCTGATGGAAAATATCAACTAGTTGAAGATGAACATGTGTTTGAGATTCAAGTACACAAATATTCTACTTAATAGCTTTGGATTATATTGATCATCTCTGCTCTGTTTGAATGTTAACATGTTAAGCAGGTTCAGATAGTTTTCTCACTGGAGGGGCGGGAAGGTAACGGAAATTTAGTCATTTTCAATTTACAGAACATGTCATGGCAATACTGTAAAGTGTAGTGACAGTCATCCATGTCCCCTTCCCCAAATTATTTCTGCCACTTCTTAAATTTTAATTTCTGACATGGACTATATGTTACGATTGATAAAGATATGCACTTATCAAATTAAAATTCTGGCTTTTGTTTTTTTTAAATGTTACCTCTCAGCAAACTTAAAAGATAAATCCCAAGACAACCTGCTGTCTTTTTTGAATAATTTCAGTCCTACTTGACGTGATATTGTATAAATACAACCTCTTAAAAAAAACTTTACTTTTATATTTAAAAACCTCAACCTATGATGGTTAGGGGAAGAGCAGTTAGAAGGCACATCATCATTGAAACTTGATGTATATGCGATAGTGAGGTAATCAGGGTTGCATCCCAAGTGGCAGTCCTAGCAGCTTGAGGCCACTTCCACCTTAAAAAGAAAATCTATCGGGGGAAATAAAGATTAGCACTGCTTATTAAAAAAATGGCTGAAAAATTCCAGACTGGGCAAACCTCAACAAAACATTTTATTCTTAACAGCCATATTCTACCAAAAAGCTGTCAAAAGAAAAAAAAATGGTCTGCTACTTGTCTGTTGAAAACATTAAAAATATCGTTAAATCAACTGTCTTATGAATTAAAAATTATGAAAGCCAGTGTGGAATCGTTAAAATGCTCGTTAGAACTTGGCGGGGGGGGGGGGAAGAGAGGGTTATTATAAAAAAAATTCACATCCACAGTAACTCACAGAACTATTACATATTCCCAACCCACTTCTTTTAAAAAAAACTGCTGCTGTGAGTTAGTATTGGAGCAACCTTCTTCTCTTCCGCTTGAAAAGCCGATTAAACGCACTCAGAAATGGACAAGAATGCTTTAAAAAAAAAACCTCGGGGGCAGGACGAAGATCCTGAGGGAGCTGAACACTAAGCTATTTGGTATGCATGAGCGGGCAAGCAGAAAAGGAGAGCGCTGTAGCTTTTTAACTTTGCCCAACAATGCAGCGCCAGCGTCGGGTTCGCCCAGACCATCAAACTCCCTTTATTTTTAAATAAAAAAGCGACGGGAATCGTCGGGAGGTTTGAGAATACGGTACCCAGTGTAAGGAACAAGACCATCCGGGTGAAAAGGAAACCTGATCAGACACAGCGAGGCTCCACAAAGCTGCCCTCGACTGCATCTCGTCACTGACAACAAGGCGCCATTGGCCCACTTCCACCACCGTACTTTTCGAAACGATCACACACAATGGGGGCACTGACACTTTTTTTTTCCAAAACATACTTCATATTTTCCCGTCTTTATTATATAAATATCAGCTTTTTAACGTTTACTGTAAGAATATAAAACGTTTAAGTATCATTTACAAATTCACATACAGTACAATTCAAATATAGGTTGATCAGCAGGATTTTGTTTTCCTTCAGCAACTAACTGCCTGTCTATGCATCATGGCCCTGACAGGCATTCAATCCTCGGGAATCGATGATTCTTCACTTGACGTGGTCGCCCTATTTAAGGTAGAACAGGCTTTAACCATTGCTAAAAAGACGGGGAAAATAAGTTTCCCCCATAAACTGTTGTAAATCTCAACCGAAAAGAAAAGCCTATACAGCTGCCAGATCAAGGCGTCTAGTTTCCAGCTTCAGTTCTTTTTTGTTTCCTTTGCATAAAACTATAGTTCGATGGTTTTTGACTTGAGTGCAGCCAAGTCTAAGAAAACCAGCGTCATGTGTGCTTCATAGATTATTTGTAAAAATGTTTCCAGCCAACTTTACTTTCATTGAAATATATCTCTGTTTTCTGTCCAAAGGGTAACGCTGTAGACCGACCAGAGGCGGGGAGGGGAAATGTTGCTGTAAGGACAGATCTTACTGTGAAACTTCTCAATTTCAGGGCACAAAAGAAAACGAGGTAGCCTTGAATGTGTCTATCAGCAATATGCATATTATCAACAGAACAAAAAGTATGAACCAAATTCCAGAAACAGTGACCACCGTCAGAATTACTTTTTTGTTTTGAAAT